TTCCAATATTAATTTCATGCATAAATTATACAGTGAAGAAGGGAGGAAAAAAAAACAAAAATTTTTTAAATTAAACACATATATAATGTTTTATTTTTAAGAGAAAAATTAATCATTTATAAAAGTAATGCTTAATTGGTTTGGTCATTTTGCTGCTTTTCTCGTCATATTTAATCATTTATTAAATTTCGGACAATGTAATTTGGCTGCAAATTTATTTTGGGATAAAAATCTCTACGAGACTACCAGCGTTTCTACCACCACTACCACTATCCTGACTACTATTGCTACTACTATTACTACTACTATTAGATGTAATATTACTGATACTGATAATATCGATATTGAATGTAATACAATAACTATTGATGGAATGATAAATGGGACAACAATATCATCAAATAAATATTCACCATCCAATCGTGATTTTCCTTCAACAGCAATGAAAATTAAAACTGATCAACAACAATATGAGAAATCGGACGAATTGAACAAAATGAGCAAACTTGATATTTTTATTGTTGCAGTAATTGTCATCATATTCATACTACTTTGTATTGCATTTGTTTTATTAATTAGATATAAGTAATTTTATCACTTCTTTCTTTTGTTCTATTCAATCATTTTTCTTTCAAAATGTGAAAATTTGAAAAGAAGGAGCGAAAACGAAATTACATCAGGTTTGAATTTCTCAGGAAGGGAAATTTATATTTTGTTCAGTGATAAGAAATGATAATTTATGATAGAAAAGAAGAAAAATGAATGGTGAATGAGATTGAATTTTAGTGATTATTAATTTTGTATATGTATTTTATTGTTAAGCATTTATAAAAAAGAACGAATAAATGAAAGATGGATGATCAACGACAAATAAATGAATTTTGTACAGGTGTGATAAATGCAAAAAAAAAAGAAATACAAAAGAAAGAAAGGGAGGAAAAAAAGAAAGCTTAAAAATTTTAACCATGTAAATACCATATTCCAGCTTGATAAATCGTTACAAATATCTTCAACAAATTTATTTATTAGTAATTTATTAATTAATTGTTTCTGATTCGAAATGTATAATTTTGATTCAAATCTACATCATGCTCAACTTACGGTAGCATTTTTGGGATTTAAATCTGAGTTTTATTTTTCCAAGCAAAAAACGATAAACCTAACCGCTGAAGTAAATTTAATTTCTAAAGGATTTTTTTAATTTCCTAATTTCCCAAAGTTTAATTGCTAAAACGGACGATAAATTAAGTTAAACATCTGTGATTATTAACCTTGATTCATTTTCTTATTGCTATACCATTCTTTATCAACAATAAATATTTAATAAGAATAATTTTGACTAATCTGTACTCTTAAATTCTCAAGAACAATGAAAATTATATCTCAGTCTAATTTAAACTCTACTAGTAAACTCATTACAAAATTAATACTGAATCCTTAACGTTCACTGTAAAAATCTTACATATTCAATCTTTAATGAATCATTAAAAATGTCTTCAGTTTGAAATTTTTTATTAATAATGTATGAATTGATCATCTTTAATGCACATTTGCGACATTCTTTAATTTCGAATAAATGTTATTTCTGAAAGGATTAGCAAATGTAATTTGAAATGATCAAAATGTTGCGACAATTCATAATCGAAAACAATTGTTCCTAATGTTAGTTAATACGATAAAAAAGATTTAGTGAAATACTTTTTAATTTTTAAATAAACTAATTCTGCATTAAAAAGATCATGAATCTGATTTAAGATTCGATTGACCAATGCTTATTTATGAAACAATTGATCACTTTTCTGCAACATTTCACTTTATTATCAGACCTGTTTGGATTACATTTGCACACATTTGAATTTTCTCTTTTAGATTGATCCAGCGATATATTTGCAACTTTTATTATTTCTAATTCAATATTAATCGATTTCATTTAATTATTAGTTGAGAGTAAGTTAATAATTTAAAGCTCGTCTATGCAGCAAAAAAAAACATCATTATAGTAGCATTAAGGAAATTATTTAAGCAGATTTCAATTAATTGAGATTGAGTTAATAAAGAATGGTAATAAAATATGAAATGTACTTTTTGTTACAGTTAAATGGAAAGCATAATTGAATAGTTTATCAAAAATTTTTAATGATTTTTTTTGAAGCAATTTATCGATTCCGATTAACGCTAAAACTTCTATAGTTTCGATAATATAAAAGTGCAAACCAGATAAAAAGAGGAAAAAGAAAAAAGTTAACAATTTTTTTGCCTTTCCAAAAAATCATTAAATTTTAACTTCAAATGATTGATTATTATCTCGAAATCTGCTATTCCATTTCATTTACTACTCATCATATGTTAACGATTAAGTAACAACATTCAATTTCAAGTTCAAATAACTCCTTCTCCTATCATAATATATCATTTGTTTGATGCAAGGAATTTAATAGCATTATAATAGAATGTAAATTTCATTGAAACACAACTGCAATTATTATTTGTTGAATGTGATATATTCAATAAAAAAGATAAATTTTCAATTTTTTAAAAAAAATTTGTCATTGAAATTCATTCAAAACATAGCTCTATACTCCCTCGCAATACGTGCAAAAAAAGAAGCAGCTGTAAGTACTATTTCAAAAACTGGTTTTTTCATTTAACCTATCAATTCAGCAGAAACCATGATGATAATTAATTAAGACATTTTTTAAATTTATACCGCACATATTACACACATGCGCACACACGTACACACACACACACACACACACACACATACACACACACGGACACCGCATCTCACCTCTGATTTCTTCATTCGATTTTAGCCTTGAAAAAACGTCACGTTTTCAAGGCTCATTACTACCATTTTACATCTTTGAAAATGAGCTTTTATTGCGTATTAGTCAAGTAATTACACATCACACAGTTCTCAATCTCCTTCATTATAACCACTTACTTTATAACTAGCAACTTAAAACTAAACAGTTTGTAATTCTTAGTTCTTTCTACTTTCTCTTTTTACTTCCAATGATAAATTATAATTCTCTCGTAAATTCGAATGTTCCACATTGCCAGATAAAGCATTCAGGTGTCGGAATGCATTCATACAATCTTTCGTTTTTAAGAAATGACTGCATTTGTGAATGGTAATGTATAATTGATAATAATATGTATTCATGAAAACTTGAAACATATTTTCAAAATTTTATTAAATTATTAAGTATGACAGTCAAATTATTTCTATTTGTGTGACAAAGCACGCAAGCATACACAAACATTAGATTAAGTAAATGTTGAAAGCAATGAACACCACAACTCTAATTACAATGCGAAGAAATGAAACAATTTTCAAGGAAGCAACTACAGTGGAGTATCAATAATTAAAAAATGATAGACTGTCTTGAGCGACAATCTCAAGGATCGACAAGGATCAACAAGATTGTACTATAAAAAGAATTAAAATTATAAGTTTTCATTTAATTTCGTAAATAACAGAAACGGATCAATAATTTCTCACAATCAAAAACCCACTTCCCTTTGTCATTTAAAGATTCATAAGATCAATTGGGAGAGTCAAAATTCAAACCGACATGAACTTATCTTTAAACTATCAAACTTTGGAAAATGAATTTCAATTTTTGTTTAAATGACAAAAGATAACTGGTAGCAAATGAACCAAATTAAAAAATTTAGTTCATCTGACATGAAGTGAAAACAGAGTACATAAATGTCGAAAAAAAGATAAAAACCACCATGTATAATCCACCTTACTCTGCAAAAAAATATACTTGACCCGTAACTGAATCATAAATTGTTATAACAATTATATTCCTAGTTTGAAATAGTGTAACAATAAAGAATAGGCTAGGAAAAACCTATTGATCATATGATACTGGTCATTCAACAAAATATTCAAAAAATGTCAAAAAGAATTACCCAACGAACAAGTTCTCCACAAAGCCCATCAAACTTGCAGGATTTATAAAACCACTGATAAATGCATATAAAAGGTTTGTTCAATAATTAACAAAACATGGGCAAAGTTTAACTGAGAAATGCAATGAGAAATGCATATTTCACTGCCAAACCAGAGATAAAACTTATCGATTACAAGCGAAGCAAGCAAAAATGATCATACGGTATTCGTAAAAAAATCTTGATCTTCAGCTAATTGATAGAATGAAAGAGACCACTACTTTTTACTTCCTATGAAATAACACTGCAAAAATTATTTGATTGTCCAACTCGAAATAAAGACGATCGTGAATATCAATTTGCAATCATACATCCTAATTAGAAATATTTTTGGCTAAAATTTCAAACCTCTATGATGAATCTGCTTAAACGGAAGAGAGAGCCCCAAATTTTTTATTAAAAAAATTTTACCCAGATTTTTAACAAAAATTTTACCATTCTACCCAATTTCCCATAGAAGGTACGAACATTCAAGTAATAGCTATGAAAGAAGCAGAATCAAGATAATCTTTCACTTTCACATTTATTACAAGGTATTCTTAAGCTAGTAAAATATCAAAAATTCTGTCATTAGGCAGATAAAAGCAGTTGAATACAACATTGTGCTGCAAAATACTGTTGTTACAAATAATAGACACGATGTTATACAGGATTTGTACCTTGAGGATAAACTCCTGGAGATGTTGCGGTCGTTGCGGTAGTAATCGTGCTTGTCTTATCACCCTCAATTATCACTGTTCTCAAGTTCAAAAGTAATCCATTTGGAGTACTACGATACAGCAAGATTGCCATGTAGCCACACATTGCTGCACAAAACAGACAAAGTAACTGAAAATTTCAAAAATTTACATCCCAAAATTGAAAATGAATATAATTGAAAATTATGCCAAAAAGGTGGCAATTGTATCGAAATATAATAAAAAATTTACCGTGGCAAAAAGATAAACGAAGAAAAGACTCGCAGCATAACCAATCGATGAAAACATACTAATCATGCAAATCAGCGCCGAAATACAGAAAAAGAAGAAAAAAAGCAATGAATAGACGAAAAGCTGAAATAATAGATAAAAATTCTTTTGAATAGTTTGTAAGATAACATAAGAAAACAAAGTCATAAATTAATAAGAAACGCTCACACACTCGTTTCTTAAAAAGTCACTTAATGCATAAATTCTAGTTTTTAGTAATATTCCTTGTGCTGAATCTTCTAACATTTTTCACTAAGTATATTAAACTGACAAACGGTTTAATCACGAAATATTTCATCTCTCCATAAGCAAAAATTATTGCAGATGCACAACAATCAAGTCAAAACTGATTTCAGCATTTCAAAATAAGCTAGGTTATATACTGCTCGAAATTGTTTCAGAAATTTTATGATAAAGTAAAATATCCAGGCTCCGTGAGAGATTAAACCTACCAGAAGCGCAAATGGTATAAATGCGGACATTTGTCCGATGTTCAACATCTGCCGTTGAAAACCAAGTAGATGGACAATCCACGTAAGAAAGCCGACAAGAAATATTGTCCAAGCGCAGAAAAATACAAATGATGTCCCACTGTAGTAATACGGTGAACAATATAAAATGACCAGCAATATAAAGCAACCGAACTGAAAGTATATAAAACTGGGCAAGCTTCACATGGAAATGTTATATCACCAAATTACCTTATTTACATAATTTCCATAAAAAAAGTGAATTGAAGCCAATATGTGATATAGAAATATTGACCTTTCCAGTCATACAAATGTAGAAGAAATAAAAATTAAGAACAGCTAATGTAGAACTTACCCACTGGGCAGTCATAATTATGCCAAATGGCCATTTCTTAGGAAATTCTTTATCAAGTTCGACCATTTCAAAAAAATCTGAAATAAGCTAATGATGCGAACAAAGGATTTTAAATACCAAGCAGGATTGTAAGTTCGAAAAATATACAGCCTATTAAACGGAAAACATTGTCAAATTTATAATGACTCCAATTATAGCTGGGGGAAATCCTCTTTTATCTGCTTCAAACGTCACATGAATTAAGTAATCTTTTCACTTTCAAACATATATAAATTATAGACCTAACTCCTTTTGACACAAACATAACCTGTACAGTTTTTACGCCAAACATACCCTCTAAAGTATTCATTAAAAGTTCAAAAAATAAAATATCAAAACAATCGTTCAAAATTATTTCTGCCTACCGCGCCATAAATATTGTACTCTTCTTTTCACTAATCTCTAATTCATCATTTAGCTACAAGCCTATCTGCGTTTGCTTAGTAAATTGTAGTGTGTAACAGCAACATCATCATTACTTGCTAATTGTTAAGTAAGAAGTAGTCATTAATCAACTGCAAAAAGTATATAAACAATATTTACATATTCTACATATAAATATGTTTACATACAATATTGTAACTACAAATATATGAAAAAACAATAATAAATTTAGTAGCACATGATGTCAGAGATGTTTCGCTGCAACGTTATGGATGTATAACGTGCAACATATGACAGAAAAATGTCATGCTTTTCTATGTGTATTAAATCAATTCACAAACATTAATAAACAATGAAACCAATGAATTCTGATCATATAAATACTTCTTTTAAGGTTAAACAAAACTCTCGACCGCTCATTCAGGCTTCCTAATACACTAACTGTATGACGAAGGGTATGGGAAGAGTCAAGAAACATTTGCAAGACTGAGCTAGCAAAGAGAGAGAAATCTTCAAACGTCGAGAGAAGCACCAAAAGAGAGGAAGAAACGAGAGAAGAGAGGAACGAGACAAATTCTCACGCAAATGATTGCTTTCTTTCACGGGACGCATTATGAAACCTATAACATCTACCTGGTACTTATTTTTGTTCCAAATAAATTCGTTAGAAGAATGAAGGATGGATAAATGGTTGGAATTAGTCATGCAAGTTGCTTCAAATTTCGTTTCATTTTCTTAAAGTTATATAGCATTCAAGAATATGCTCCTTCCATGGCTTTCTTTCGTTACATACGTGAAATATTTATAGAAGGAAAAATTAAGATATATACTCTATTTA